CGTCGCTGATCAATCTCGTTTGTTCCTTGTACCGGAAAGATGTGACATGGTTGCTGCAGCTGCACTTCCTGTTGCGTTTGGGACTTCTCATGTAGCACTTGTTCATAGAGCTCGTTTAACATCTGGTCAAGTAAATATCTCATCTTTCTGATTCTGTTTTTTTTTTGGCTTTATGTGAATCTGAGTTTGTAAAGGTTGAGACTTGAGAGATTTTTCATTGGCTTTGATGCAGGTCTTATTGGTTTTAGGTGCTGCTGGTGGCGTTGGTCTTGCAGCTGTTCAAATCGGCAAGGTTTGTGGAGCCATTGTCATTGCAGTTGCTAGGTATATACTGGTTTAGACTCATTTCACTTTTGGGTTCCATGGACTTCGATTATCGGTTTTGGTTTTTGAATCTCTTACTTGTTGGTAGAGGAACTGAGAAGATTCAGCTGTTGAAGTCAATGGGAGTGGATCATGTTGTTGATCTAGGCACTGAGAATGTTATTTCAAGTGTCAAAGAGTTTATCAAGACAAGAAAGCTTAGAGGAGTTGATGTTTTGTATGATCCTGTGGGAGGGAAACTAACCAAGGAGTCCATGAAAGTTCTGAAATGGGGAGCTCAGATTCTGGTGATAGGTTTCGCCAGCGGCGAAATACCTGTGATTCCTGCTAATATAGCACTTGTTAAGGTAAATGGGTTGTCTTGTAATAGAGAAGAAGAAGAAGCTTTTTCAGTGAAGAGAATCAAATTTTCATAAGTTGTAGTAACCAATTGGTGCAGAACTGGACGGTTCATGGTCTTTACTGGGGTAGCTACAGGATCCATCAGCCCAATGTCCTTGAAGATTCCATCAAAGAGTTACTGTCATGGCTTTCCCGAGGATTGATCACTATTCACATCTCTCATACCTATAGCCTCTCCCAGGTGAAAACATCGTTTCATCTTCATGACATCAAAACTCAAAACATGTAGTTAAAGACTTACCGTTTGGATTACAGGCCAATCTTGCATTCGGGGATCTCAAAGACAGGAAGGCAATTGGAAAAGTGATGATTGCTCTCGACCACAAGACTGCCATGTCGTCAAAACTTTAGACTCTCTGTGGCCATAGGAGAAAACTGGTTCTGTATTCTAGAAATAAGGTTATTGAAATGGCCATGTAAGCTGAACCATCTTGCACTTTGTTTGTCTATGGCATGCTTACAGTTGTCTGTCTATGGCATGCTCACTTTGAATAAGGTTATTTCTATTGACTGCTCAAGTCCATGCTGGACCCTACCAGAGCTGCAACCAGAAAGTGTCGAGTTCTCAGGTTTTGCAGGAGGCAGGAGCACTCATACTCTGTGACCGTTCTTGGCCACTCGTATTAGAAGCAGATGGGTGCACCGGAGAAGAGTCTCCTGGGCCGTTAGATTAGGACGACGACGACTGATCCTACGGTGATATCTGATCGTTCTCTTGGTCTCTTTGCCGTTGAATTTTCAGATTAGTCATAAGCAATCATCCAAAAAAGACCGGTTCGGTTTTTAGTCAACCGAACCGGTCTTAAAGTTATTAATTACAATGTCAAACGACGTCGTTTCAAATTACCTTCAGATTCAAATCTAGCACTTGTGAAGGTAAAAAAATGGTTTGTGTTGTAATATAGAGAAGAAGAAGCTTTTTTTACTTGAGAGAATCAAATCTTCATAAGTTGTAGTAACCAATTGGTGCAGAACTGGACGGTTCATGGTCTTTACTGGGGCAGCTACAGGATCCACCAGCCCAGTGTCCTTGAAGATTCCATCAAATAGACTGTCATGGCTTTCCCGAGGATTGATCACTATTCACATCTCTCATACCTATAGCCTCTCCCACGTTTTTTTGAGCCTTATGTAAACAGTAAACTTATGCCGTCAAACTATTCAATATGGGCCTTTATACATATAGTTTTTAATTTAGTCCCACAAATAGACGAGATTTAGGCCCATTCATTTTTTATAATTGAATTTTCCTCTAAGACAACTCCATCTCCACATCCATTGTCTCCATAGCCTTTTGAGAAGATTTCCTATCTCCTTCATCCCTTTGGAGCCTTCTTCTTGAAGGTACGGCATGTGTTTGTGTTTGTGAAGGTCGATGGTACTCTCTTGTTACCACCTTTTTTTTTTTTGGTTTTCTCATCGTTAATTGTCATCTCCATCTTTCTCTTCTTCTGCAGCGGACCTCTTCTTATTCTTGTTGTACTTGGACAGGCTCCAAGACCAAGATAAGCTCTGATACCATGTTGGTATTTTGAAGGAATGATGAAACAGAGTAAGAGATAGTATCTCTTCTCTTTTAAAGAAGACCAGAACGAAACAGAAATCTTTTGATTAAACTGAAACTTGTTGTTCTATTAAGACAAGACATACACACTTATATACATGTTTACATAACTACTCCACGTAACCGTTGGTAACAGTTGTAACTTCTCCGACAAGTTACGTCTCTTACTCACAACCGTTCGTGGTAAGTCACATGACATCCGTTGACTTTACATACAAACTAACACATGATATTACTAGATTTAATCATGGACTCAATTCTAACACCAACAACCTAGCAGCTACACATGGAAGAACCAAAAGCCCTGTCTCTCACCAAATGCACCTCCTAATTGCTCTACTACCGCCACCATTACCGGTAATGTTTTCTATGCCACAAGAAAACAACTTCCAAATCAAGAGATCAGATCGATCTGTTCTAAAGGCAAGCTCTATTATTACCTGGCTTCAAACGAGCAAGACTGCAGTGCTATTTTCCTTGGAGCTCTTGGTACCACCTCTAAGACCGGAGAGGATGCGGATTGAAACAGCAATGAATGCTAGTAGACAAAGATGCACCAATCTGCAAGACAGGCTAGAAATGGATTTGCAAAGCCCAACCCCACTCCACTAACAAGAGCTGCAAAACAAAAAATGTCAAAGAAAGTGAGGCATATAAATGAATTCGAAAAGACGTGTATCTATGTCTCCATTCTACTTTTCAGTAAGGATATGGCTACACCTACAGAGTAATATGTGAATACCGCTGCAATTGTTGCAAAGCTGAAATCAATAACCAAGAAATAGGATCGATCCAACTACATTGAACACAAATGTTTTCCACTCTTTAGCATTGGCACAACATGTCTTCATGCTAATGCAATTCCAAGTGACAGAACTGACAGTGAACAAGAGACAACTAGTTGATGTAGGAGCACAAGAGAAAGCCATTCTTTGATCATATGCCATCCAAAGCGGAGACACCGAGTATGCAATCACGGGTAAAGGGATTGAAGAAAAGGAGTTGATAAGAATTGGCATTGTACATTAGTAACCAACCATCTTTAGAGTAACAAACTCGAAAACCGGATAACTCAGGGTCAGGGAAGTGAAGAGTGTATGTTTTCTGCATTGATGGGTCATAAAGTTCATAGGATTCCAAAATTAGATAAGCCAAAGGAGATGTATGTATCACTCGAAGAGAGACATCTTATGGATCCAAAATAACAAATTGAAAAATAATATGTCCACTAAATTAAACAACAAAAGGGTTTGTCTCTTCTCTTAAATTTGTAGTAAATAAAATTTGCTCCAACAAATTGATGGACAAGCTTGGGGATTTAACCGTAAAAGAGTTATGCGTGATCCAGCCGGTTTCACAATCCTCTCAATGCGTCAAAAGGTTACAAAACATTTCAATCTTTCACCAACAAAAAAAAGGACTCTTTCTTGAAATTGTGTATGATTTTTGTTTAGGGACTTGCATTGAAGAACAAGTGAGAAGTGCATGGAGGAGAGACCAAAGAGAGAGAAGACTTGCTCTTCACGGTACAACAATCTCAAGCGGTTACATTGAAAACATCCGTTGATGTTTTCTTGCCGGAGAACAACAATGTCAAGAAGACAAACACTTGTGATTTTAATGCTTCAGAAGGATACTCCAATATCTCATTCAAAGTTTTCAAAGCGGATGCTCTCATCACCGGGGTAGGGGTAAAAGTTAAAAACCCATACTTATTAATAATTTTGCATTTTTTATACATTGGTGAAGGATTGAAATCCAGAGTTTGATTATGCTTTTATCATTGCTTTTTCTTGTTATGGTCGATGACAACGAGAATTGGTGTTAGTATATTGTCTATCCTCAATCTCTTTGTCTAGTGGTTCATATATATTCGTCTGTTTAGGAAAAGTAGATAAGCCAAGGAGATGTATGCATCACTTGAAGAGTAACACAAGCTTTTTGCCAGCAGAAGCACGGATGTTGTCTTTCAATGGAAGACGAGAAATTACCAGTTGTAAGAGATCACAAGGAAGATTTATGAAAGTTTGGTCCTTTTTCTTTTTTCTTCCTACTCTGCTTCTTATTTTTCGTCGTCTTCTTCTTCTTCGACCTGTAAAAGTAAAACTCAAAATCTCAAAGCTACAACATTTAAAGGTAAGGCACTAAGCAGAGTCCTTCCAAAGGGTTTCTGTTACCATTGTTTCATCATATTACCTGTTTCTGTTCTGAGAATCTCCCACAATCTTTATAGAAATAGATTTGTACATGTGTTTAAATAATTATGGACAAGGAATTCTCTAACTAGTACTAGATAAGTTGATCAAACAAAGGGAGATCAAGGAGGTTAAGTGGTGACATGATCCAGATATTCTCATACGGATTCTGTTTTCTCCACTTGAGCCGGGCCTCAACTTTATAATATATGAAAGTCCTCTTGAATCCATGGAACACAGAGAGACACAGACAGTTCCTCGTTACACACTGTGGCTGTAGTCACCTGTTCTATTGACTGCTCAAGTCCATGCTGGACTCTACCAGAGCTGCAACCAGAAAGTGTCGAGTTCTCAGGTTTTGCAGGAGGCACGAGCACTCATACTCTGTGACAGATTCGGTGGAGAAGAATCTCCTGGGCCGTTAGATTAGGACGACGACGACTGATCCAACGGTGATATCTGATCGTTCTCTTGGTCTCTTTGCCGTTGATGTCTGATCGTTCTCTTGGTCAACTCCTCAATGGGAGGAGCACTCAAGTGTAAAAGATTTTATCAAGACAAGAAAGCTTAGAGGAGTTGATGTTTTATATGATCCTGTTGGAGGGAAACTAACCAAGGAGTCCATGAAAGTTCTGAAATGGGGAGCTCAGATTCTGGTGATAGGTTTCGCCAGCGGGGAAATACCTGTGATTCCTGCTAATATAGCACTTGTTAAGGTAAATGGTTTGTGTTGTAATATACAGAAGAAGAAGCTTTTTTCTCTTGAGAGAATCAAATCTTCATAAGTTGTAGTAATCAATTGGTGCAGAACTGGACGGTTCATGGTCTTTACTGGGGCAGCTACAGGATCCACCAGCCCAGTGTCCTTGAAGATTCCATCAAAGAGTTACTGTCATGGCTCTCCCGAGGATTGATCACTATTCACATCTCTCATACCTATAGCCTCCCCCAGGTAAAAACATCATTTAATCTTCATGACATCAAAACTCAAAACATGTAATTAAACACTTACCGTTTGGATTACAGGCCAATCTTGCATTCGGGGACCTCAAAGACAGGAAGGCAATTGGAAAAGTGATGATTGCTCTCGACCACAAGACTGCCCTGTCTTCAAAACTATAGACTCTCTGTGGCCATAGGAGAAAACTGGTTCTGTATTCTAGAAATAAGGTTATTGCTATGGCCATGTAAGCTGAACCATCTTGCATTTATATTCGGCCTATAATCCACATTCTGATTTGAAATTTAATAATAGTAATCGAATTGCAGTTTGATTCTCTCTAAAAAATTAGTGTAGATATAAATCCTTTTTGTATATACATTGTTCCAATCAAGAATACATTTCCTTCAATCAAGTAGAGCTTGGAAGAATAAAATCGTATGCGGTTTCACCAAATCTATATACAGAGCCAATTGTTATGTACATAAAACTCAAACCAAGCACGTGTTCTGACTATCTCGGGCTATCTGGCTTCAGAAAATGGAAATGTTCAAGCTGAGTCATCTCTCCTCCGTTCACTGGATCGAAATTGCACCTGTAGAAACTGTAAGGCCAATAAATCAGATGTGTGGTTGTTGGTTATTTTATGTTTTTGATATTCTGACTTGTGTGGTGGAAGCATACATACTTGTGGATGACGATGTAAATTTATACTCAGAGAGATTTAGAAAGACTTAGTTACCTTCCGTCCATGCCAATAATCGCAATTGTGTTCTGAGCGCCAAATGCTGCAAAGTATTGGGTGACTTCTGGTACATGGAACTGAGCAAATGACCATTCCGAGCTGAAATATTTTGGTAGAACTCCTGCAACAATGTCTCAACATGTTAGGTACCAGACAGAAGCATTAGATTATCCAACTGCACAATTATATATATAAAATCTACTCCTCAATTAGCTGGTTTAGAGGAAAGCTATGAAATGGGAAAAACAATAACTTTCCTAGTGACACAAAAAATTTCACAAGGCTTCTAAGCGACACGCTTCTATAAAGTTCACTGATTTTCTCATGAACCAAGAAAGGTATTTCTTGGAAGTTTCACTTATGCAGTCTCTCAATATAATATAGCCTTCTGTCCTTTCACTCCATAAGCAGCTCTTAAAGAGAAACAAGGCATATCATACGTACTTCATGGTAACAGTCATTTTTTCAGATATCTCCTAATTTCTACCTTACCTCTCAGAAAAGACAATGACGAACCGGGGTTGGCACCACTGGCTGGAGAAACAAGAGGCTGCATAGAATTTGAAGAAGTCTCATGTTCAGTGGAGTATGCGTCCTCCCCAATAACCCTCACTCTAAGAGAGAAAATGTGAACAGTCCCCTTGTCACTTGATACTGCAAGCCACTGCATGTTTGGTGATAGAGCAATGCTGTAGATATCTGCTCTGTCCACGCCTCTTCGGACCTGTAATAAAGCAGCATTTGACTTCATTAAGCAGACTAATTAATCAGTAATGAACATTCAAAACTGGCATATGCTCTGCATAAGATTCCGTTACTATTATTAACAGCTACCAAAGTCTTTCTAAACAAATTGTGACAGCTGTGTTTTTTCAACCATTGCCTTGACAGATTCCTTATCAAAATGTGACTTAAATAGCTTAGGGTACAATGATGGTGTTAAGTAAATGAAAGCTACTTCATAGTTATCACATATCAGACCTCTTGCAGACGAGTTCCGTCCATAGTGTTGAAAATTCGAATCAGAGTTCCCTTTGTACTGGCAGTTGCAAGGAGCAAGCCATCCAATGTCATGGTCATACACGCGAGATTAGAATCATGAGCATTAATGATTTGAACCATGTTAAGCCCAAAATGTTCAACTCGGACCTCTCCTCGACGAATACCTGGACAGGCCAGGACAGATGTATTCATATGATGAGAGAGGCAACATAGTCCCCTTGGATTTGCCAGATTTTCAATCTGGTGAAGAAGTCTTAGATCCATAAAATTGTAGACATATATCTTGTGCTCGAGAACAACTACAATTCGATCTCTTCTTAACTTCACTGCACGAATTTCCGACCGAAAAGTAAACTCACTGATGCAGCGGCTCTGATGATCATCCCAAATCAATACTTTATTTGAAGGGTACTGAGAGTTAGGTCCACCACCAACAAGCGCCAAGATATTACTCCGGAAAAGCATCTCTACAATTTTAAACCCTCCACCCTTCAGCTCTCGCCTGAAAGTTTCCTTGAACGGTTCACAGTTGTATATACGAAAACCATGGCTGGTGCCAGCAGCAAAACAGCTGTAATCCTGATTCCAAGAAACAGAAACCAACTCTGCTTCATCACTTTCACCAAAATCTGGAGGCCCAAAAGATCCTGAAGTGAAGGTATTCCGGGAGTCATAACCACCTGGTTGGAAGTTTCTTCGAGGGTCCATTTCTCCTTAATATGTGAAGCGTTGCAATTGTTGCAAGCTGAAATCAATTAATAACCAAGAAAGAAGACTTTAAGATTGATCTCACTTCACGAAACACAATGTCCATAAGATCCAAAAAATGAAGCTATTAGACTAAACTTTGACAGTTTGATTCATGCCAATCAATCCAAAACTCAGAACAGAGACAATTCAAGACCGAACGCTTCATTATCCTAATTGAACATAGACTGATACAATGCCTTATCGAAACTTAAGCTAATCCAACGCAAGAGTGTCAACATATTAACAAGCTCTCTTCTCTCAGATATAGTGGCGATAACAGGTCAAGACAATCATCACCGCGTCAACCTCCAAAAGGAAGCCATATAAGAAATCAAACTCCACCACGATCGAACTTAATCAACCTAAAAACCCTATCTGTTCATCCTACATTACGATCAACAAACCCCTAAGCAACTTCATACTCCAAAATCCTAACAACACCACGATTCCAATTTCGCATACAATCCATCAATCGCGTACGAATTTACACACAACAGAGCCACAATTTAAGATTCCGATCAAACAACAATAACTGCAAAAAAAAAATCCTTAATTCGAACAAAAAACACAACGAAATTGAACAAAATCCTCACCGATTCAGAAAACGAAAACAGCGAGAAGAAGCAAACGCGATCTTTGAAGAAGGAAAATGCTGCTTCAATGGACGAAGAACAATCTCGATCCTGATGCTATAATCTTCTCAAATCAACAATGACTTGGCTATGAGAAGGTTCGTCTCTGTAATACTAACTTGTAATGATTTCGTCGAAAATTTCCGATTTTTTTCTTTTTTTATTCGTTTGTTTGGGTTAGTCAACTGTCGTCATTTTTATAATTTAACCTTTTTTCTAATACAAGCAAAATAAAGTATAGTTATTAACTTATTATTATCTTAATGGGCCTCTTTCCGTTACGACCCGACCCGGCCCGTATTTCTCCAATTTGGAGAATCAGCTCTGGTGACTGAAACCGAAAGTAATCATGGCGTCGAAGCAAAAACTCTGACTCGTTGATCCATAAAGCGAACTCTTTCTCGCTCTTCATTTCCTCAATCAAAAGGAGGATTGTAAAGTTTTTGTTTTTTGTGAAACAATTCGATCTAAAACCCTAAAAAGATGGTGAAGCCCTCTGATTTCAAAGCAGTGCACAAACTTATTCAATTGCATTACAGTCGAGTCAACCTGGTCTCAAAGACGGGCCGGTCAAAACTCTCCGCTTTTTCTTCTCCGACTCTTCCTTCAAATGGGGTTTCTCAGCTTCAGGCTAAGTCCGGTTTCCACAGCTTTTCGTCGAGACCCACTGCGAAAAACTTTGGCTTGTCCCAGATTCTTCCCTCTAATGGGGTTTCTCAGCTTCAACCTAAGACCAGTTTCCACAGCTTTTTGTCAAGACCCACTTCGAAAAATTTGGGATTATCCCAGATTCTACCCAGTAGTCCTAAGCTCGTACCTAGTTTGCAGAATTGTGGTGTAGCGTTGGTTAAGCCCCGTGTTAATGTGAACTTTGCATCGGCTTTTAGATTGTTTTCGAGCTCTGGGTTTCGAAAAATCGATGGGAATTTCGCTAGAAAGGTTGTTGACAAGCCAATCCAAGCTGTTAGTTCGACTTTTGCTAGATACCGAATGGCTTTAGGGTTGCACATTGATGCATTTTGGAAGAAGAATAACCTTTTGGTGTTTGGAGCTGGAGCTGTTTTTGTATGTATTTTCTTGTGGAGAATCATGTTTGGAATTGCTAGCACATTCGTTGGTCTCTCTGAGGGAATGGCCAAGTACGGCTTCCTTGCTCTCTCATCTGCCATTGTTGCATTTGCTGTAAGTTTTAGGCTCTCGCCTATGCTAATTTCTGATAACTTTGACGTTAACGCAAACTTTGAGATACAACTTATGATTGATTCAGTGGTGGGTCTCTGAGCTCAGAACTATGACATAGTTTCAGTGTGAATCTTTTCCTTGGAAAACTGTCTTGTTTTGTTAATCTTTATAGTCTTCAACTTTCTATCACGAATTGCAAATACTGTTGTTAACTTTGGTTTGTTGTCATAGCATTTCTCCTTCTCTTATGTTATAGAGTTATCACTGCTCACAACAATATCTGTGTATTTTTCTATTACTAGGGTTTATATCTTCGCGCAAGGTTCACGATAAATCCCGATAAAGTTTATAGGATCACTATGAGGAAGCTTAATACAGCAGCTGATGTTCTTGAAGTTATGGGTGCTCCTCTGGCAGGATCAGATTTGCGTGCTTATGTGATGTCAGGTGGTGGCATAACATTCAAAAAATTCAAGCCAACAATTAGGAACAAGCGTTGCTTCCTCCTATTCCCGGTTCAAGGTTCTGAGAGAAAGGGCCTTGTTAGTGTCGAAGTCAAGAAGAAGAAAGGCCAGGTTTTACTTTCTCTACTTTCCCACTAGATAAAGAACATTCTTCTTAGATTGATCACATTATTATCATTATGATTGTTAGTAATCTGTTCTAGAAATTTTTCCAAAGTAACCTTAAAATTAGGCTTGTAAACATTTTAGCTGCCTGATTAGAATTCATTAACAATGCCACTTCAGCTTGTTGTCATTGAGTATAAATAGAAAAGGCTTTTGATGTTTAAAGTGCTGAGTATTTTGGTGAGGTTTGGGGTTCTCTATTACAAAACGTAGGGTTCTATCTTTGATTCTTTGCTTTGGTTGATTATTTTGTTCTTCATTTGCTTCTTTGACTCTGTTTTTGTTCTATGTTACTGTGAGAGATATCGCCGTTTGAACCTATCAGTGTGCCCATTTCTCTATCAATGATGTATGCGAGTTTTGGTCTATCTCTGATGTTCATGTCTGTTTTTGCTCAGTATGATATGAAACTACTGGCAGTGGATATTCCAATGGCGTCTGGTCCTGATCAACGCTTATTCCTTATTGGTGATGAAGTAGAGTACAGAGTCGGTGGTGGTTTGATCTCTGAGTTAAGAGATCCTGTGGTAAAAGCAATGGCAGCAACCAAAGAATTTGATAATCTTGACAGAATTGAAGAGGAAGAAGACGCCGAAAGAGAACTTCAAGAAGCCGAAAGGAAGGAACGTGAAGAAATTGAACTTCAAGAAGCCGAAAGGAAGGAACGTGAAGAAATTGAACTTCAAGAAGCGGAAAGAAAACAGCGTGAAGAAATTGAGAAGATCGGAAAAGAGAGTTCTTAGTCGGTTCTATCGTACTTGCACACAAACTAAACATCTTCAGTGGATATAGAACATCACCGTGAATCTGTTTAAAAACCCTTACTTTCAAACTTTTGCAGAATAAATTTTGGAGTATGTTACTGGTACTGGTTCGGATTCTTCAGAGAAGGATGGCTTTATCTAATGAAAACCGGTTTTGGCTTGAGGGAGGATAAAGTTTTTGTCTTTCCGGTTAGTACCGGTTTAAGCACAATCTAGTGAAAACCAATACAGAATCCAAAGAGTCAAGGCTGTATGAGACTTTCATATCTATGTTGTCTTTGACCAATTTCTATATTACAAAATTAGCAATCAGTTATTATGGTTGATCAAAACCACCTGCATCGTGAAGAAGATATAGTTTTCCAACCAAGAATACGTCCTCATTGCTTTTATCGAATGTTCTTGTGATTCCCTCCTTATCTGGTTTCTTGGTTTCTTTCTGAATCATCTTCCACAGAAAATTGTGATCTTCGAATCTGTTGCCTTTAGGTGAAACTGTTCTGAATGCAAAAGCACAAATCATCTGAAGTTGTAAGGATTTAAAGGTTAATAATCCTCTCCCAAATCCCTTCTTTTTCATACCTAGATTCTATTGAATTTACCTGTTTTATGAGATCGGTCATTTGAATTTCCTCTCTTTTTCATGATTGTTGTAACATTAAAAAGATAAGGGTTTTGATTTCTGTTTGGTTTGATGAAGTTTTGATTCAGGAGTGAATCTTGAGCCAATGAGAGGCAAATCTGGATTTGATTGTGTAAAGAGTTGATGGGAAATCGTTGTGCAAGAACTTCTTGTTGTAGAAAGGTAATCAATAAAATTCTACAACATCTTGTGTCTTGTAGCAATTCAATGTTTCATTAGCCATAGCTTCAGAGGGAAGATGAAGAATCTGTCTCCATATATGTGTTTACAGATATGGCCATGTATATGCTGCTGCAGCAACAACAACAAGGCTCAAACCCGAAGCCAACACGGGTCCAAAGGAAAGGTCCATCCGGTAAGCAGAATCGAGAAATGGGAAGAAAAGATCACAGAAGCTAACAACAATGGCAAGATTGTAAGCTTTCTTCTTTAACAAATTTCCGTTTTTCTATGATTCTTCCACTTTTCCATACAAGTAACTAGCTTAACTGACCATTCAATCAAACAGCTGGTGGTGAATTTCAGCGCGCCGTGGTGTGTACCTTGTAAAAAGATAGAACCAGTATTCAGGGAGCTTGCTTCTAGATACCCTTCAATGATATTTGTAACTGTTGATGTCGAAGAGCTCGCTGTAAGTAAACTGAAAACTTGTGCTTTTGAGAAGATAGATAAGATGCAGTTTTAGGATTTGAGATTGAATTGGTGGAAAAAACACAGGAGTTTAGTAATGAATGGAATGTGGAAGCTACACCAACTGTAGTGTTCCTTAAAGATGGGAGACAAATGGATAAACTTGTTGGTGCTGAAACCTCAGAGCTGCAAAAGAAGACAGCTGCAGCTGCTGATCTCTTTCTCAAAAAACCATAAACTCTAAACACACAACAGAACAGAAGTTAGGTTTTCCATTGTCTATCAAAACCAGAAGTTACTTGCGGTCGAAGTAAGTATCTGAGTTCTTTTTTGTTACTTGTTTGGGATTTGTTTTTTATACTTACAGATCTGATTTGGTAAGACTGATGAAATTCTTTTACGTTTTGTTCTCAGACAATATCTTGTCTTTGGCTGACAAAAACACAAAACATGATGATGAAGAAGAGTTTGGTGATCGATGGTTTATTAGCAGCCATTCTTCTTTAGATATTGTGCAGATGCATTGTTTGTTATCAAAAATGGTTCTGATATTTTCAGCAGTAAACGACTTGCTTCTTCTGCATATTTGTCTAATTAATTATTTTACTTTCTATATTATTATGTTCTTCTATTTGAAAACCTGAATAAACCTGTCAAACACGGTATAGAAGAAAGTTTAACGTATTTTTCAAACTCGAAAAGGTTTTGGTCAATAAACATTTGCTTTATGTTGGCAAATTAGTAAGATGCACGTTGATTTCTTTCTTATTTTATAAATTATGATTAAACCATGATGATGAGTGATTCGTTCTTTCTTTGAATAAAAATATACAAAGATTTTTAAAAAAGAAAAGCAAATTTGATCTAGAAATTATAATAAAGGGATGTTTCTTGGCGATCTCCAAAGTTGACTTTTCAAAATCCAAATCGTTAAGACTTCAAGGAACTGGACCTCAACTTCCAAATCCAATGGTGACTAATCAACCAATGCAACTCTCCGATCTTAATTTTCCTGAAAAAAGAAAATGAAAGAAGCAGAATAATAATAAAATAAACAAGTCTGTTAAAACCATCACCACCTTGACCATTATTCGTTTTGGTTTTTATAATAAAGCATATACTTTTATATTTGTTATTATGTGCTTGATCTGATTCATATAATAATATCTCCTCCTCCTCCTCCTACTTGCTTGCTTGAAAGACCATCAACAAAGTTTTATACTGCCCAGAAAGAAAGAAAATCATGATGAAGAAGAAGAAACAGAGCAGATCCCTATCTTCTTCTACCAAGAAAACTCTTGAACCATCCTCAGATTCTTCACCTTCACCTAGGCTCCTCTCCATTATCCGTTCTAAGGTGACTTCTCTCTCTCTCTTCTGTTTCTCTTCTTCGTTTCTCTCCTCAATCTTTGATTCTTCCTATAACAGGTTCTCGAGTTCTGGATTTGAGCTGATGTGCTTGTCTTTTTTTCTTTTCTTTCTGTAGTTGGCAAGTGGTAAAGACTTGAAGCATATGTTCAGAGGTATGAGGAGTAGAACCGTGCCTGGATTATCTTCTCAGTCTAGGATCGTGAGATGTCCCAAGTGCCACAAACTTCTCCAGGAACCTTTAGATGCGACTTCTTACAAATGTGGTGGATGCGACTCTATTCTTCATGGTACGATACCCTTCTTAAGTCTCTACCCATGTTTACAAGTAGTCAACCTCGTGCATAAGTGTTTTCTTTTTCTTGTGTTTTTTCTTTGAATGCAGCAAAACGTTTGGAACTGGAAGGCAATGATCACACAAACACTATTCCTCAGGCTCTCCTTTCTTCTCAAAACCGCAGTTTAAGTGCTGAGGTAGAATCTCCAGAATATGGTAGTAGAACTCCAATGAGAAGTACTCACCGGGAATACAATTCAAGGGCATCGCCTTCTGTTGAAAGGGGTTATCATCCAGAAACTGTTTACAAGCATGAGACATCCGATATCCGCAGAGAATGGATGAGAAGGACTGATGACTTCAGTGAGACCGGTGATTCTGATGCGTTTGCTTCAGCAAGAAGCTCTCCATATAACACACGCAGCAATGCCTCGCAATGGGCACGACATGAGGGGAGATATGAAGATCCACCTCAGGTTACTTTCTATCCAGCAAGTCCTTCCCCTTCTTCTGCTTATGAATATGGCTACAGTAGTCCTTTTCACGGGTCTCACGTTTCTGCATCAGAGCAGTCTTATTATCATCATCACCCAAACCAATTCAAGCAGTACGGAAGAGAAGGCTGGTTTCAAGAATCTTCTGTTGCTTCACCTACTCGTTTTCCGGGTGAGACATCTGATGGAAAGAACTATCACAGGTCTTCTCAGTCTCAGCTGCATGATCTTCAGTATCATAATATTTATGAACCCAGTAGCTCTGTAATCCCACATCACTCTGTGTACTCTGAGCGTAATTATGTAGCAGCTGCAGCGCCACACCACTCTACATACTCGGAGCATTCCATAGGGATTTCTAAGAGTGACACAAGTAGTGAAAATATCTCATTAAGGAACAAAAAACGGTATGTCAGGGAAAGGAATCCGGTGGTGAAGCGCCATATTCTTCCTTCAGCAGGCGGTGCACCTTTTGCAACTTGTTCCTATTGCTTGGAACTTCTACATCTTCCTCAGGTGTCTCCCCAAGGAAAACGTAAAAGATATCAAGTGAGATGCGGCAGTTGTTCCGGTGTACTTAAGTTCTCTATTCGAGAGAAAGCAGATACTGTCCTGGATTCACCTAGCTTTGTGGATTATGGCATGGATTTTGCAGATGAGAATGTTACTAATCATCAGGATTCAGCATCAGAAGGTTATGAAGAGATTTATCCTGATGGAAATCATCTGCCGTGTTTAGACGACGATTTTGGAGATACAATCTGCAAAAGCAACGATGCTGTTATTTTGAGTCAAAGTCTAGAAACATTTGAGGATAAGGGGATTAAAGAAGACATGAGGAATATATCCGGCAAACTATTAGATTTGAAATTGGAGGCATTGCAGCCTCATCTAAAACCTGTGGTGAACCCCAGATTAAGGGAGCAACAACCTGCATCAAGTGAGACTATTGGAGAGACTTCCAGGATTCATCTAGAGCAATCTCAGGAAGCTCATTCAGAAAAGTCAACCGAGATGGATAATAACAATTGTGAAAGAGCCTGGTGCGATTTAGAAGAGCTTGAATATGAGAAGAACGAAATTATTAAGCCAGAAGAAATTGTAGGAGAAGGATCAGGTGAGTCCTTCGAAGTTCCAGTATACCAGAACGAAAGGATGAGTGAATCAAGTGAAGAAGATGAGAGAGTTGCAGAGAGATCGGTATCTCATAGTGTGGAAATTCTATACGAGAACGAATACGTCAGTGAAACACGTGTACAGTCTGAGAATACCGGAGACGCTAACGAGTCTGAGTGGGAGGAGACTCAAGAAAATGAAGAATATGGAGGTGAAAGTACATTGAAAGAGAACGGAGACAAACCGCAGTTGCATTTGGAGAAATATAGGTACATTCGAGATTCTATCTGTGACAGCAGCTTAAGCTATGGTGAACCATTTGAGGATACATCAGTCAAGGAAGATACGGAGCACATATCAAACACAATTTCAGATGATAACTCTTTGGTGAATGAGAATCAGAGGTTTATAGGACATCCTGACCAATCAGGTGAAGCTACAGTAACAATATCTAGTATCCAGGAGCAGTCCAAGTATGAGTATGAGAATTTAAGCGAAAGACAAGAATTGGAAATGACCATTAGTGACAGAGTACGGTATGAGTTAGAGGAGTCTAGATACGAGACAAATGAAACTCTTGAGCCGAGCAAGGTGGTCGAAGATGGATCTGTTGTTTCTTTCGCGAAGGCGAGTGAGGCATTCGAAACAATCATAGAAGGCGAGACAGGTGGCGAGAGACTGGTATCTCATCAAATGGATTCTCCAAACGAGAAAGTAGAAAATTCTTATGGAACACTAGAACCAGTTTATCTAGAAGAAAGCGGGTTTGCAGGTGAAAATACGTGGGAAGGGACAATATATGATAGAGCGGCGTTGCATTTGGAGGAATATGAAAGCAACTATGAGAATTACAGCAGACCATTTGAATGGACTTCAGAAACAGCTCCAACATTTGGCATGCATGATTATGAGCTAGGGACAATACTTGAACCAGACGAGGATGCTGATGGAAGATCAGAATCCAGTTCACGGGGTTCCTTCAATGATGATGGAAGTTCAGAAGAGAGGGTCATTTTTCATGATTCTCAAGATGCTATACCCGAGCAGTCCCACGATGAGCATGAGAGCTCAAGCAAAAGACAAGAGTTGAGTGACACCGTTTTTGACATAGTAAGGTCTGAATTACAGGAGTATAGATATGAGACCAATGAACCACTTGAGCCAAGCAAGATGGTTGGAGATGAATCTGTTGTTCCTGTTGAGAAGGCGGGTGAAACTTTCATAAGCGAAAAGGATGAAGAGAACTCGGTATCTCATCAAATGGAGTCTCAAAATGAAGATATGGAAAATTCCTACGGAACTATAGAACCTGTTTATCTGGAAGGAAGCAGATGTGAAAGAGAAAATCCATGGGCAGAAACAATGGGAGATGGAGTGGGGTTGAAGTTAGAGGAATATAAAAGCTATCCCTTTGAATGGACTTCCGAACGAGCTCCAGCATTTCATCTGCATGAGTATGAACAATGGACAGTGCCTGAACCAGAAGAGGATGCTAATGGAAGATCAATACCCAGTTCACGGGATTCCTTTAATGACCATGAAAGTTTAAAAGAGAAAGTTGTGTCTCATGAGGAGGAGCCCTGGCTACTGGATGAGAACAAAACGGAAGCACTAAAAGTTGGTGTAATGGTGGAAGATGGACCTTCGCTTCACCTGACGAAATGCGAAAATGAATCAATGAAATTGGAAGAGACACTTGAATGGACTTCAGAAAGAGCTCCAACATTTCGTCTGCATGAGTATGAACTAGGGGAAATGCTTGAATCAGACAACGATGTTGATGAAAGATCAGATTACAGTTCAAGGGGTTCCTTCAATGACCATGGAAATTCAAAAGAAAGAGAGTTGTTCAATGAGGAGGAGCCCCAGCTGGTGATTGACGGCAGAACCGAAGCGCTACAAGTAGGCCAAATGGCAAAAGATACGGTATCACTGCACTTGGAGGAATGCGGAGATGAATCAATGAAACTGGATGAGACATTTGAATGGACTTCAGGGAGAACTTTAACGTTTCGTCGCCATGGGTATGAGGTAGGGACAAAGCTTGAACCAGACGAGGATGCTGATGGAAGATCAGAATCTAGTTCAAGGGGTTCCTTCAATGAACGTGGAAGTCCAAAAGAAAGAGCTGTACTTCACGAGGTTGGGCCTTGGCTGGTGGATGATTATGAAAACAACGCACTAAAAGTAGGTGTAATGGCAGAAGATGGATCGCTGCACTTGGAGAAGTGCGAAAATGGAAAAATGGAATTGGACGAGACACTTGAACCAAGCGATGATATATTCAGGCTCAGTCTTGATGACACACTTGAGCAAGAAAGGATGACGTTTCATTTAAAGATGTCTCAAGATAAGCAAGAAAATCTAAGGCATACCTTTAAACAAGGTGAGGCTGAAAAAGATGTACCAGGATTTGGTTCAAGGGTATCTTCGGAGGGCCATGAATCTCCAAGTAAAATGGCAGAACTAGATAGTGACACTGAAGAGGAGATACTGGGAGACCACTTAGAACATTTGCAGAAACAGAATGAGAAGTCAGGTCTAACCTTTGAACCACATGCTCATATCTACAGCACAACGGAGCCTTCTGAAATTGTGGGTTTGCGTCATGCGTTATATCAAACACAAAATTCACCTCTACGGTCACCTCTCACTTCACCAATTCATACTCCCATTAGTTCTCCGCTGCATTACCTGATGGCTTCACAAATACGTTCTCCAATAGCTTCACCAATGCATTCCCACATAGTTTCACCACTGCGTTCTCCCATCAACTCATCTGGATCACTCTCTGATGTATTGCTCTTCAGCAAGAAAACTTGATGACAAGAAAACATATAAGTATCCCTCCAAGCTTGCTCAGTCTTTCCGCCATACTTCAAGACTTTACCTGCAATACAAAACAGTGTATACATTGTCTCAATTTTGTTTTCGAGTGGCTGGATTACATGTAAGGTTTTCTACAGATAATAAATCAATTCATTGAGAAGAAAAGTCTGTTTTTTAGAGAAGTTGTGCTGATTCAGGACTCATTAGATAAAGAGGAATTGAATCTACAGAACCGGGTTGCTCAACAAAAAGATTAACCATGAGTTGCAAAACATAAAACATTACATCCAATTCCATCCAGGGAAATCATACATGCAGCAGCCACAAAACAAGGCAAACACAAACGTTTTGCTCCATTGGGTGGTTGAAACGATCGGCCATCGAAGTAACAAAGACAATGAAAATGGTTTTTTCGGTTCAGAGCAATCACAACAACGACAGATAGAAATTCCAGCTTTAAGAACATAAAAGCTTCTCAAAATGATATACCCAACTCCAAGTGAGACATCACTAAGCCCAATGTTACTCTCTTGAGAGAAGAATCAAGTAAATTTTGTTTATGAAAACTTGAATTATACCACGTTTGATCCACATGATATTCTTAAAATGTAGCTGGAACCAATGCTAATGATATCTTTCCTTTTGCATCCATTATCTTCAAAGAGACGAGAAACAACAAAATCGACAAGAAACTTTCAAGAGCTTACTCTGAGATAAAAATGTAAACTTTCAATCTTTAACCAGTAATTTACACTGGAACTAATCACATATACTGAAAGAAGAAAACAAAAAGTCCAAAGAAAACGCTGTAAAGTTAAGAGATTGAATAATAGAGTGAAACGAAAACTCAAAAAAGGTTCCTATTTTTTACCTCTAAAAACGACCTCGGAGATGCTCCGACCAATCCTAACTTAAAAATCTGATCTTGTTGATGTTATGTTTCAATTATATCGTTGCTTCTCCTGCCATTTCTGCTTTCGATCCCTCCGAATCAATTTTCAGAGAAAAGAGAAGACATAGTCCTTCACACTTCACGCCATTCTACATATACACACACACTTTAACACCGTGCCGTTTTTCAATAATTTTCACATAAACACTTAAACAACGTGCCGTTTTGTGCAATGTGATGAAAAAAAAAAAACATTTCAAGTGTCCTTCAGTACAATCAAATATTACTCATATACATATGTCAAATCTCATGTAAAAAACATTAGGCCAAAAAAAAAAACGTGACTAATCATATCACATAATCCAACTTAAACGATATCATATGATAACACATAATAAATGTAAATAGTTACATAATTCTTTAGTTAGACTAGACGACCCCGACATGGTTTGGTCCCATGATTCTTCACGGGCTGCAAAAAGAGGTCAACAAACTACTCATTTGAAGGGTTTAAACTTTAAAACAAACCAAGCAAAACCAAATCAAAGCCCCATTGTGTGTTTTTTTTCTCGTTTCCGTACAAATCTTAGTGTACCTTGAAGATTTACATGAATTTCTTAAGAGTTTCTTCGACGTCTTTTGCTAATTACAATAATTCTCATTACTGCTTGATATGAATTTGACGAAATTCACAAGTAGTTAGAAATTTCTTCAGGTCATGTTTTCCACCAAAAAGACACGCGTTAGTTAAAATAATTTTTCCACTGCAATAACAGTTAGAACTTTGAAGACAGGTAGTATAAAACTCAGTTTTACTTTTTGGAGATTGCGACTGGTCTTGAAGGGGAGAGAGAGAAATATATGGAAGAAGCATAACAATGGAGTAACAAGTAATCATTATCAAAAAAAAAAAACAAGTAATGCTTTTTTGTTTTGCAATTTCCATTGAATTTCCTTTTAAAGTCTTTTCTCAATTATTTTTTCCTGTTCCCTGAACAAATATATATTCTATTTCCAATGAGAACTTTCTCATTGTAGTTTGTAGATATGATATATGAAGCTTCCCCATTATTTCCTTGTTTATTTTATTTCCCCTTTTGATCGCACAAAATTCATTTGTGTGAAAAAAATGTTTGAGAGGGTTGTACAATTATTGTTGGTACCAGCAGCATACGATACCCACTCGCTCCTTTTGCAATAATTCTTTTTACACATCACAATCAACTGTACATATTTGATTCATGCACCTTTCCAGAAAAAAAACGAGTTTTTATATAGATTATTTTATTCAATCACTGTATATATAAACCAGTTTTTATATAGATTATTTGATTCAATCACTGTATATATAAACCAGTTTTTATATAGATTATTTTAGTCACTCTAATCGCATTAATCCATTATTCAACCTTTGTTCATTACCATTGCAGCGGTTTCTACCGCACTTATATGCAGCTTCTACGATTTCGAACGCACCCTTTTTACCGCCTCCGCGATTCGAGTTTTTTTTCTTTCATAACTATAACAGTTGTTTTAGAGTATAATCAATCAATTCGAATAAAGATGTCAGAACCCTATAATTCTTATGTTGTATATACATATAGATATGAATTAATAATGACATAAATTTCTAGTAAGTAGTACAACCCCAACATGCAAAACCCTATGTTGTCTTGTATGATTGATCAATTAGCTATCTTTTTTTTCATCTGAAATTATATTAGATTAAAAATGTCGATGCCAGTTTACAAAAAACGTAGCCATGACTGCCATAGACAGAAACAAAAACTTCTCTACCATAACTAAGAACCTATCATCTTTGACAAAATCAAAGTGCCTATACAAAAGAATGGACACACTACCTATGATCCAAACAGGGACAAAGACGTTGCAGCTCAAAAAAAGGCAAAAGCTCTCTCATCCTCAAACAAACGATCAGAGGTGACCTAAAGCTACATAAGAATGTAATTTTAGATCAGAGGTGACCTAAAGCTATATAAGAATGTAATTTTAGATCATAAGTGACACTTTAAACAATGAGAGACGCCCCTCTATTTGCAAAGACAGACTCCTTAGACAACTTCCTTTATCAATTAGCTATCTATAGCCCCCCTTATTAAATGGTACTTTGGAAACATATATAGACATAATAGTTGCCTACACAACTTGATGATTTTTATTATTATCTTCATTTTACTTCGATCCATTTGTGCATTATATTAAAACCAATTTGCAAAATTTACATTGATCAGTGATCCAATAATGATTATTTGGGTTTAGGCTAAGCAGTAGTGGAATTCGCGAGATTAGGGAATAGCGCAATATTACTACTACTCCTAGTGACAAACTGATAATGATTAATACAGTAGCAATAACAGGGTCGGCCCAAACTATTCGAGTGCCTAAAGCAAAAAAAATTTGGTCCATTAGCAAAAGCTGTTATAAAAAAAAAATACAAGTTTTAACATGTATGGGATTCGAAACCATGACCTGTACAACAAAAGACTTCAATCTAACCACTAGACCACAGTAACATTTTAAAAATTGATGCCCCTAAAACTACTTATAATTATTTGATGTCTAAAACCCTTGCTTCATGGGCTTTACCCATGGACCGGCCCTGAGCAATAATATGACTAATCGGGTCGTTCAAATCTTAATCCACTAGTGGATCTTTAATAGGCAATAAATTTGTTTAAATAAATGTCTCCTTTGTTTTGTGCAAGTTGAACACCATATTCAAGTCCACAGCCAATAATAAAAACATTTAACGAGAAGTTACCATGTGAGGTGAGACATAAAAATATGGTGTTCTTTATACGGTGTTTTAAATAAAGTTTTTAACTTACTGTTGGCCATTTTATAGAAAATTTAAAACTCTTTAAAAGAAAATTTGTTGGATATTTTAAATTGTTTTATCATAAACTAAAATACAAACATCCAACAAAAACTACAGCCATTCGTATTTGGATACATGAATCTGTGCACGATAATATTTAATTATAGGTCTGTGTGATAGAGATATATGCGTAGTTGTTTCTCTATTTGTTAGATATTTACTTGTCTTCTTTTTACACTAAAAATTTCCTACGATTTATGGCTAAATAATTAAATCGAGATTTAATCATAGTTTTGCAATGCAATCACGATATCAAATTTACAAATGGAATTTGAAAATCACAATTTGTCCCAAAATATGTATGTAGTATAAATACTTTTAAATTTTATAGTAGTATAGTAAATAAATAATGCATAATGAATAAACTTTTTAAAGAAAATTAGAGATAGTCCACCTTCCAATAACATAATAGAGGTTACTAACTTATCATCCAGAGTTTTTGAATAGGTAGTTTAGCAGTTCGTTAATGGAGGAAACTCAATTAACTATATATCTAAAGCTTCTGATTTGATTAAAACGAAAACTTGATTATAGTATATTTTTAATCATTCTTTTTATTGTTTATTCCCATGACCTTGTCAACACCTCTTTCCCGTTCACTTTTTCTCACATCATCCCTTGCAAAAACAGTAAATAAATAATCAATTAATTAATGAATTATTTCTGTGACTAATAAAGTATTGTTATCAAATAGTTTATTTGATCCTTTCTTTTGGTCGACGTACGTCAGAGACAATGTATTATGAGCCGTGTTTAAAAAATCGCTAGAAACTAGTTGGGCAGTAAAGGTACGTCTAGCGCCTACCAAGAAAATCGGGGATTACACGGGGATTAATCGGGGATTAGTTTTAGGGCTATTTAATGTTTTAAAAACATATTAATCCATTATAATTAAGAAATTTATATAATATTGTTTTTAAAATTGTATTAAACACATGAAAACAAGATTTTAATTTCAAATTTATGATTTTTATACAAATTACGAACATATGTAGGACGTTTTGAATTTTAGATTAAAAAAAAAAGTAAAAAAAAAAAAAAATTGGGCTAGGTGCTCCTCCGATCAGCGCCTAGGCGACCGATTTTTAGAACAAAGATTATGAGTAAAAAGTCTAATTAGAAAAAAATGCCGGTCTAATAAATATGATTAATATATACAACTATATGACATATTAAAATATAACTTACGACGAGCCAACTGGTTTATTATAGTATCTCACATACTCTCTACGTTTCACGAAAAGTATCATTTTGACACATTTCACATAAATTTGAAAAATATGATATTTTATATATATATATATATATATATCTTATTTATTAAGTAATTAATAGTTTAAATTCAATAAAAAGTAGCTTTTGGTTAAGGGTAAATCAAGAAATTTAGTGTA